TTTTTATTTATTTTTATTTTTTTTTATCTTTTTTTATCTTTTTTTCGGTTGCGCCGATGATATGTCTCCATCCTGGTTTTTGTTGGTTATTCAGTTAGGTTTAAAGGGCGTTAGGGTTGGTTTTAGGGAGAAAGCAGAGTTGCAGCGACCTTCTTTTTTTCAACGCAGAGCTCGCACAAGTCCTGTCTCTTCGATCAGCCACCAGGAGGCCAGCTTAGAGCGCAGCACGTCTTGCAGGCTGCGAACCTTCTGAGCAGCGCGAAGGACCATGCTGAACCGACTTTTGCTGACTATGGTATATTCCTGCAGCAAAAGGAAAGGTTTGTCAGTGGAGCTCAGACAGCAATGACAAACTTTGCCTGGGAAAGGCTCCAACTGGAAGTCGCCAGCCTTCCAGGTGAGCCCCTCCCATTGCACTTGCTTGAATGCCCTGAGTTTCTGCTGGCCCCAGAGGATTGTCGTCTCCTTGCCACGGCCAGGCAGGGCACGGCGCTCGAAGTGGACTTTCATCTGGTCGACGCACGAGCAAAGCATGCGGTCGAGGATTGCTTTGGACCAGGCCGGAGAGGACACCAAAACGTCGAAGTTTTTGTTCGCAGTTTGTTTGTATGATTGATGCTTCGCTTCGAAAGCGCTCGTGTCCATGTAGGCGCCCCACTCCTCGATCTGCTTTGCTGCGTGATGTCGCCAGTGGTGTTTGGGCTTGAGAATTCCTTCGCCATATGTAGCGAGGCATAGGTCATGGTGCTCTCGCTGCAGCTGCTGTAGCTTTGATGTGTCGGATATCTGGCCTAGCCGCTTCAGGCGGCTAAGTTCGCGGTGTATTTCAAGCAAACATGCATAGCTGGCTAAAGGTCCTGCCATCTGGTCCTCCTCGTCATAAAGCTCCACAAGGCAGGCGATCATGGGAAGCAGCTGCATCAGGTGAGCAGCTTTGCCTTTGTAGGACTTCTCAGGAAACCTTGCGGACTGCAGCAAGCGTGCGCGGGATGCCGGACCTTGCAGTCCGACAACATGGCTTGGCGTCTGCCATGGCAGCTGGCGCAAGAGCGAGGCGAAGTCCTCAGGCGCTTGCTGCAGCCTGCGATCGCACTCGCGCATCAGAAATGCCATCTCCACGGCCGCGCAGCCTCCGGCCGTATAGTAGAGGTGCAGGAAGTCGAAGAGCCACTTGCTGGGTGGTAACAGTCTCCTGCAGGAAGAGTTTCTAGTATAGGCTACTGGTGTCAATATCCATCCTATAAGGGTTAAGCCCGTGTGTGGGGTGTATAAAAGAAGATGATAGTAGAGAGTGTCCTGGCGAAGTCATCTTGCAGTATGCCCTCCGGGTTGTAGCAGTAGCCGCTCAGGGTCTCTTCTTCGGCGAAGAGGCTCGCGGGAATACTGCCTTGCCTCTGCCGCTGCATGTCGCAGAATTGGAAAAGCTCTTCGTCCTCCAAAAGATCCCATTTATCTATGTCTGAAGAACAGATGTCGCAGGCATAATCACGCAGGGTCGGTGCCGATGCCAATGCGTGTCCTTTCATGACGACATTTTTACAGAGATGGCACGGCTTGAGCCCAGAAGCCCCCTTGCAGTTCAAAGCCTGACGGACTGCTTCCCCGTCCGCGATGACGGCGCTGATTTGAAGTCGGAGAAAGAAGGACCGGGAGCACCTGCGAAGCCCCAAGAAGAAGAGCCACAAGAAAACTATTTATATACTAGAACCAAGTCTACAAATGCGGAGGTCTGCCAAGGAGCTGGATCAGGAATCCCTCAGCTAGCTTGTCTTCCGCAGCGAAACGCAGGATGTGACGAAGCACCGGGCCCAAGCTATTCTGCAATCCCATTTTCATGGTGTCTGACCCGATCACGCAGAGCGGGAGACACAGCGCCGCTGCTTGCGTGCCGAGTTCCTTTATGCAAGCGTACACCATGCAGCTCTTCTTCTGCGGATCTGGGGCAAGCACGTTGCCTGCCGTGGCTTCATCAAAAGAAAGCACCAGATTCAGTGGCTGCTCGGCGGCCTGGGTCTGCAAGGCAGCCAAAGCATCGCCAAGATCGCGCACTTGCAGGCACATCTGCTGGAGCACAGTTGGCACAGAGGCGATTGCTATGCAATACTCACCAAAGGTCACCGTTCTGTATGCTTGCTCCGGCAGAGTAAGACGTGCAGCTGCACGCCTCATAGCCGCACGGGAATGCCCTGCATCTTCCGCTGCCTGCCGCACTGAAGTGCCGGGATTCCGAAGTGCCTTGGCAGCATCTGCCGCCGAGACTACAGCTCGCTTTCCCATACCATTTGTCCAGTCACGGCAGCCGCGTGTGCAGGAAGCAAGTTGCCTCACGTGGGGCTCTGCAGCAAAGCTTTCTCGTCAGGTCTCTTCCATATCCAGGAAGAGAAGCAGCTGGAACACACTGGCTGGACAGGCTAAGTGTTCTCTAGCAGACTCTAAACCGTCCTTCTGCTACACAGCACAAGGTCTACATGTTTCGACTCCTTGCTTCTTATTATAGCCTCTGTAAGGCTAGAGGCTTCTATACACAATTCCAGGCAAGGGCTTGCAGGGGTTCCTTCGTGCAGACTTTAGCCTTACGGAACACGTGTGACTTGAACCAGGTCGGAGGGCGGAAACTCTGCTTACAGCGGAGCCAGTGAAAAGGAAACGGGCAGACTCCAGACTGTGCCTGACCAATTTTGTCTGGACGTTGAGGCGCTGCAGTCTCGCGTCGATATAATTCCTGCTGCACACGACATCCCCTGCCATGTGAAGCATGCCGAGACTCCGTCTGTCTTCTGCAGAGCAGCAGTGGTCTAGTCCCTGTTTGCACGCTTTTCTGCCTTGGCCTTTGCGTGCTTCCCCTGCCGGTCCTTCTTTCTCTTGAGAAGCTTCTGCACCCAAGGGCTGCGGGGCTGCGTGGGCGGGATGCTAGAACCAGGGCTCTGCTCCTGCCGCTGCGCTGCCGGCGTCCCGGGGTCCTGGCGTGGGCTCTCCGCGACCTCTTGAGGCCTGCCCTGGCCGGCTTGCTTCACCGGTGTAGGCGCCAGCCACTTCACCGTGCTAGCCTCGTCCGACGGGCCCAGGCTCCGTGCGTTGCGGAAGTTCTTGTCTTCGTTCTCCCCAAGCAGGTTGTCTGCAAGCCTTGCGTTGGCCTGCAGGGAAAAGGCCTGGCCTATGCTCATGTTCTCCACAAACATGCCATCGCGCGGGTGTCCGTAAAAGAGCCGGACACGACCGGCCTCTTCTGACTTCTTACTGCGAGAGAAGAGCGACGGCATGCTGAGGGAGGACTGCACGGCTGCACGTTCCACACGGCAGCAGGACGCAGAAGAAGCAGCGGAAGACTTGTAGGACGCAGAGTATTTGAGCCAGCGCGACAAGAGCAGAGTTGAGCCGGGAGCTTCCTATACGCCTGCAGTCTCTACTATAAGTCTTTCTCTTATAGGTTTCTCAAAACTCGCAGACACACCAGACGGACACTGTTACAGCAGCCGTGCGCAGCCGAGCCTACTTTTGCCTCGGATGCGAACAGCATAGCCCTGGCACCGGCTTTGCTCGCGCACGTAGGAAACCCGTTTAATTAAGTTCATGCAAGGGGAGAGCGTCGTGTCTCCTGAACACACGCCTCGGCGGATCCAGCAGCAGCAGCAGGGCTGGGAGACAACTCAATAGAAAACCAGGGGTTTCCTACTGAGGGCGCGGAACGCAGGCCCCGGTGATCCGCCAACGCAGCCGCAGCTGCGAGGCCTTTCACTCGTTGCCCTCTCCGGCTTTCGCTGCAGCCTTGCTCTTGCCCTTGGCTTTGGCGCGCTTCGGAGCGGCTTTGGGCTGCAGTTCTCCCTTGAGCAGCGCCACCTCCGTCTCAAGGTGAGCAGCGGCGTA